ATAAATAAATAAATAAAAGGAAACCTTCAAAGCCATTCATCCGGTGTGACGGTTTAAAATTAGAGATTATCATAACATCCACATGTTTAATATTTATGTAAAGAGTTTTTGCCGTTTTTGGCCGCCGACTATTTTGTCAATAACACTTTTGGTACTCGACTTCTAATTTTTCCATTTTTAGTCCTTTACTATTGTGCTAGAGACACTTTTAGTCCCCGACTTTAAGATTTCTCACATTTAGTCCCTGAGTATTGTCAAATTGACACTTTTAGTCATCTCACTATGATTTCGACATAATAAATGGAGGACTAAAAATGTCACTGTTGTAACAGTTGAAAGACCAAAAATGTCACTTTTATGAAAGTTGAAGGACTAAATATGGAAATTTTCAAAGATGGGTACCAAAAGTGTCTCTAGCGCAATAGACAAGGACAACAAATGGAAAAAATCAAAGTCGAGTACCAAAAGTGTCAATGACATAATAGTCGGAGGACTGGAAGTGGAAAAAACTCTTTAGGTAAAGAAGTGTCATAAACCATTCGTGAGTATCATGAATTCGTGACACACAATAGTTTGTCACATAAACGAGTGCATGTTATATAGTGAACCTTCTCATGACTTATTTTTATCAAGAATGATGTCCAACGTGAAGTCTAAGGTATTCCTATTAGATTTCACATGATTCACTGATTATTCATTAATAGTTAGCTGCCTCTCAAAGGTCCAAGTCTAATCTAACTAGAATATAACTCAGATATATACTATGGACAATGAATTGAGAAGGTGGAGATTTCTTGACAACATTAACACGAAGTGCAAATCAATACTAAAACACTTTCATCAAAGGATGCCATAAAACGCTTGTATAAATCAAAGGTGATAATAATGGCCTAAATATGACATTCGGACTTTTGCTTTCTAAAATTATGAGCATATTCCAATTTCCCAAAAATATGACAGGCTATACTTTCTCTCTCAGAACACGCGTTTCTCTCTTCACGACTTTGACGTTTCTCCTCTGCACAGCAATGGCCCTTCAATCTCTGCACGGACATGGCGTAGCTTCTCCTTCGCCGCCATAAGCCACCGGGCCTCCAGATTCGCTCCCTCTCCGTGATTCCATCTTCTCCGTCGAGAAAGAAATTATATCTTTCTTCTCTGCACCTGCACAGTCGGCCATCACCGCCTCTAGGACGTACCGGCTCCATCTTCCTTCTGTTCTCCGCCTCTGCCGAAATCGAACGACTCCGCCTCTGCCAGCACTGGCGTCGACGCCTCTGCCGGCCTCCAGGTTGTCGTCCTCATCTTTTGTTCTTTTTTTGTTCTTTCAGATCTAACGTGAAAAGGCGTGGCAGTCAGGGTTACGGCGGTGGGTGGTGAACGTTGGCTAGGTTTAGGACGATGGTGATGGGCTGGGGCTGAGATTTGTTGCCTGGGGCTGAATCTGTTGGTTGGGGTTGAGATTTGTTGGTTAGAGCTGAGATTTGTTGACTGGGGTTGAGATCTATTGGTTGGGAGTGCCGGCTGGGTGGTCGTCGGAAAAATTTTCGGTGTATTGGGGGAGGCAGTCACTGACCGGCAGTCACTGTGGCCGGAGGCGGCAGTCACTGTGGCCGGTGGGTGAGCAGTCACTTTGGACGGGTCAGTGTGATCAGTGGGCGGGCGGGCAGTCACTTGGCCGGAGTCACTTTAGCCGGAGTCACTTTGACCAGAGTCACTTTGGCCGGAGTCACTGAGGCGGCGGCGGCGGCGGCGGGGTCGGCGACGGTGATGGCGGCGGGGTCGGCGGTGGCGGAGCTGGTGTCGGCGGCCATAGAGGTGCTGGTGACTTATCAAATATATAAAAAGAATATCGAAATAATAAATGTATGATTAAATAAAAGGAATAATTGACTTTTAGTCACATTTTTGGAAAAATAGAAAACAAGTCACTTTTTTATCTTTTTCATTCATTTTAGTAATATTGGAATAAAAAGGCCAGGTGATAATTATGTGCTTGTGTGGTTTCTCTAGGATCACTCATTTTTTATAGGAGGAGATTCGTTTTAAAAATAAATGGATGTGATGAAACGCTACATGACTGTCATATGTCATCATATCACAATTCTTGATGTGTACAAAATTTTTACACCCTTGACACACATTTGAACGTAATTGTTTGTGCACACAAACAATTGTTTCATTAGTTGTTTATGTACAGAGGCAAATGTGGGTTGTACACATTATCTGTGTGTATAGATAATTACGTAAAAATATGTGTCAAATGTATATACAATTTTTGTGTTCAAATTGAATTTTTTCATTAATAAATACTTCTAGGAGGTGTTTACTTCGCCGCTAAAGTCACGGTTATGTTAGTAAGACAGGTGAAGTAAACACGCAAGCTGCTTAAAAAGTTGCTTACTAACCAAAAGATGTGCTTAAAGTGTCGCTTACTAAGCATATCAACCTCATGTATTAATTAAGCGACACTTTAAACTTTCTTAGTTTGCGAATTTACCCTTACCCTTGCCCTTAACATATTGTTACCCCTCTACCCGCTACCGCTCCTACCTTACCCTAACCCCACCCTTACATATCCTACCTTACCCTACCCTACCCCACACCATTTACCCCCAACCACCTATCCCTACCTTGACCCCACTCGACCCCGACCCCACCCATACCCCTCACCCTTTTACCTTACCCCTTAACCCTACCCCCGACCATAACCCCTTACCCCTGACTCCGACCTTACCTCTACCTTGACCCCACCCGTACCTCGTCCTACCCCCACCCCGACCCCCAACCACACCCCTTACCCCCCCCCCCCATTGGTACCCCTTACCCTACCTTTACCCCCTACCTCGGCTCATACCCCTCATGTCGCTTACTAAGCATATCACCCTCATGTATTAATTAAGCGGCACTTTAAACTTTCTTAGTTTGCGAATTTACCCTTACCCTTGCCCTTAACATATTGTTACCCCTCTACCCGCTACCGCTCCTACCTTACCCTAACCCCACCCTTACATATCCTACCTTACCCTACCCTACCCCCAACCATTTACCCCCAACCACCTATCCCTACCTTGACCCCACTCGACCCCGACCCCACCCATACCCCTCACCCTTTTACCTTACCCCTTAACCCTACCCCCGACCATAACCCCTTACCCCTGACTCCGACCTTACCTCTACCTTGACCCCACCCGTACCTCGTCCTACCCCCACCCCGACCCCCGACCACACCCCTTACCCCCACCCCCACTGGTACCCTTTACCCTACCTTTACCCCCTACCTCGGCTCATACCCCTCCTTACCCCACCCCTACTCCGACCCTACCCTGACCCTACCCATTTACCACCTGCCCCTACCTCGAATTGGGGAGTCAAAGGTGTGGAATTGCGGTGTAGGGTGTAGGGTAGGGGTAGAGGGTATGGGTGTAGGGCGAGGTTAGGGGTTAGGGGGTATGGATACCCCACATATTAAATTATATACTTGTGTTCATGAATGTTTGTGTGTCTATATATGTATAAGGTTATTTTAGACATTTTAATGTTAAATGATGTTTTAAATCTTTTGAAGTAAAAATGAGCTTACAACACTACTTGTTTTATGCGTCACTTATTAACGCGGAATCTTTTTTTTTTGGAAGAAGGGGGCTTAAATTGATATCAAATCATTATCATTCAGAAAGGGAGTAAAAACAAGTAAGGAACCACCAACAACCATCAGCCCGCGAACCAGACTCAGAGTTAATCACCTTCAAACAGGCAATATAACTCGTTGATCCATTAATGGGCAAACCTGAGCCACAGACAATTGAAGCAGGCCAAACCTCACCCAATCCTAATGCAAGAGTCTTACAATTGAAAGAAATAACAACAAAATAAAACAAAGACTGATCAACAACAACAATAATTAAAAAAAACAGTGAAGTAAAAATTCTTCTTCAACGCCCTAAGCACCTCCACTGTGTCCACTCTGGCTGGCGGTGGTTCAAGAGGCGGACGAACCATTGCTATGATTTTTAACACGAACAAGACACGACTCCAAGCCCTAGCGCAAAAGGCTCTGCTCCCATCCGTCGCACGGTTGATCTCCTATCGAGCAACCTTCATCTGTCCCACCTTACCGTTGAGCACGTCCTTCGTTGAACCACTCTCCTTCATCGTTTTGCCGCCCATCACGCCCTCCGTCGAAAACGCTCTATTTCGAGCGTTGGAAAAAAACAAAAGCCCGACAATATTGTCGAACAGCACAAAACCTAGTTGAAAACAACAGTCCCGCGTCGGCAAACCCTCCAAGACCTGGGAAGGAGCTTTGAAGAGAGAAACGCCAACCAGTGGAAAGCAACGGCCGAAGCCACCGGAACCCACGACCTAAGGAGGTCGCCACCGGAGAAGGGGCTAGGCATTGCGTGAGGCAACCCTAGAGAGAGGAACTATTGTTTGCTCATTCACGAAATTGAAAGCCTTTTATCAACACGGAATTTTAATAAGCACTGTCTAGTACAAAATATTACGTAGTAGAAGTCAAAGTATTGCCTCAATAAAAAAAAATGAGTAAAGGATCAGTTTGGTCAAATAGGGGCGGTTCTATCTGGCCATCGCCATTTGGGGCGGTTCCCGGTGGCATTTTTTGATGAAATTTTTTGAGCATCTTATTCATTAAGTCTAGTTCACTCATACCAAATTTCAGCTAAAAATTCAATCGGGAAGACATTCAAATGAATTCTTGAAGATAATTACGCTTTTAACTGCACAGTTATCTTTGAATGTCTTCGTGATTGATTTTTTTTGGGATTGAAATTTGGTATGAGTGAACTAGACTTAATGAATAAGATGCTCAAAAAATTTTATCAAAAAATTCTACCAGAAACCGCCCCAAATGTCGCGTCCGGACAGAATCTTCTACATAAGGACTTATTTGATCCCTTTTATGCAACTTCGAGGACCAAACTGACCCTTTACTCGTAAAAAAAATGGCTGCCCCTACAACCCCGTCGCCCGCTCCGGTCCAAAGCCCTAAAGTGGGGTAAATCTGAAATTCAGATTTCAAAATCAACCAATTTGAACCAAACCCGCTTGAGAGTTGAGGTCATAAGGATTGGAACGAAACCTTGTACGTGAGTAGCTACCTAATAGAATCGAGACGACTGCAGGAAACCAGGAGTTTGCTGCGCGTGAGTCCAGAATCACCGCATCCGGACACGAAGAGGGCGGCCGCATACTAAGAAAACAAAAATAAACTTTACAGGCTTGGTATACTTTTAAAATTGATTGAGGTGTGCATACGTTTGGTTCTTGATTGGGTTGTTGTAATTTTTATATTTAATTTTGATCTGCCCTTGAAGTTTGTTTTCATTTTCTTCCATCTCTCCTCTTTTTGTAGTCCTATTTAACTGTGTTAAGCATTAAAAGGAACGTGTTTCATAGTTCAGCTGAAGGTGCCCATGGTATTTTACTTTAGTCTGTTTTCTAAAGCTTACCAAGGTTTTATAATGAACAAATGAAGATATGCATATACATTTTGTGCTGATATCCAATAACTGTAATGCTTGTCATGTATTCTAATCGATGCGACAAGGAAAGGAAGATGTGTGGAGGAACATAGTCAAAGTATGAGAATGAATAGACAGTTTAGGGTACCAAACTTAAGTGGTTATTCCAAGAGTTTTAGAATCTTTTTTCCTTCCTTTTGCCTTCTTGTTTGCATTTGTTCACTTATTTCCCTATGATAACTCAATACAACACCCAAACCCTAGTCCCAAAAGAGTTTGGGGCCGGCTACCCTATAATAACTCAATGTGTAGATATATTTTGGTTGCAAAATGACCTGGCATTGCATATGGCAGGAAATTAAGTATACCTTCGCTACTTCGGGTTTGTGATTTTGGCTGTTTTCTTGCACTGATTATTGAGGCTACAACAAACAGGTAAACTCCTCTAAAGAGTTTCTTGATCAGATTTTATTTTTTCGCATAAAGTTTCTACTTTGTATGGATTTTGGTATTTGGTATGTCATATTTGGTATGTTTTATAAATTGAGTTACTGAAGCTGCATATATTTCGGTATGGCATATCAAATGCAGTTTTTAGAATTACTCAAACTGCTATAAAGATCTATATTCTATGGAATGCAGCTTTTAATTCAGCTTTTGTTTTTACTTTTTTGTCTTTCTGTTATTTAAAATTTGTTAAGATTGCTCAGAGAATAGCTTTTCCTTTACTTGTTCTTGTTGTTCATGATGCTATTATATCTACATATTTATTAGCTTTTCCTTTCTATTATATCTTGGAATTAATTTTTATCCTCTTTTCAATTGAAAGCTAGAGCTCCGTTGCTCACTGCTCAGTAGTAAAGAGAAAAAAGTAATTGCCCGATACAAGTGCTATCAGTAGTAAGAAATTCCGAAGTAGAAGTGCTATGTTTTTCCCGTAAGTCGGGGTAATTAATGTCATGCTTGAAAAATACTCTCAAGTAGTCAACTGTGACATTTATACTGCCATATAATGTGCGATAATGCCAAAATATGGTAGCACATTTTCAGGATGGGATGACACTAATTTACTCCTTATTTATGGAAAAGAGCTCTTTTTTTAATTTCCCATTGATTTCACTTCGATTTTGGGGAGTTTATTTTTGTCTTTGTTGCTGAGATCTAGCTTTCAATTGAAAAGGGAATAATTCCTATAGTGCGGGGCTTTATTAATCCTAATTGTTTCGCAGGCTGTCAATTACACGAGTTGGTGCCAAGAATGGTTTCTGAATTGATTAATGCCAATCCTACTATTTATGAGAAGAAGGAACGTAGAGCTCGGTGTACACCAGTTGTTAAGGATGAATCTGCTGTGGAACCTATTGACCAAGAAGAAATATTTGATATCCTTTTTGAGTGGTCGCGGACTCGCGTTCTATATTTATACGCTAGCTATGTCAATAAAGTTTGAAATGTTTTACTACTGGCATAGTTACTACAGTTATTATTATTACTATTATTATTAAGTTGATGAATTACAAAATAGACATTCTTTTAGCAATCTCAAAGCATGGGTGACACCTTTTTCTTACACTGAAACAATGCTTTATGAAGTCACTAAAAAGAGAAGAGTATACGTAAATGGCTAAAGAGTTATGTTTGTGACTGCATGTTATTTTTGCGTATTTACTCTTGTCATATATTGTCTTGTGATCGAGGAAAATTCAAGTTCAATGGGGAACAATGGGATATTTGTTAATTCTTCCCACAGAAAATTCTAAACCTTCTGATACAATTCTTTAACGTGCATACATCATCTTAGAGACATAAAAGATCCAGAGCATCCTTATTCTTTAGAAGAGCTGAAAGTTATTACAGAAGATGCCATTGAAGTAGACGACAATAGGAGTTTTGTTAGGTGAGAAACATTTAAATAGAGGTGTTTTCATTTCACACCACTCTGGTTTTTTACCATTTTTTAGATAACTTATGGTGTAAATGCTTTTATTGCAAGTGTTTTCTCCTATAAGCACCTTAGGTAGTTTTTTCAAGAAGCGCCGTATTCTATTTGCTAAAAACACATTTCCATTTTCCTACCAAACACTACTTTGTAACAAGCAGAAGTACTTTCTGTCCTCTAATAAGCATCTATAACTTGAAAACAAATATCATAATTGTTTTTGTCTAAACCCAATAATTATTGGTTTCAGGGTAACATTCACCCCAACTGTTGAGCATTGCAGTATGGCAACCATCATAGGCTTATGCTTGCGGGTCAAACTCTTGCGCTGCTTGCCTTCTCGTTATAAAGTATGCTTCCATAAGCTCAATGCTAGACTTACAGAATTGCATCACTCATCATATTATGATGAATGGAGTTCATGAAGCCACTGCACTCATCTTCATCTTCTTGTCTAATTAGTGTCAATTGCAATGTTGCTAGGAGGAAATACCATAAAATCCATTAAAAATGATTAAAACAGATGATAGTTTCATCAAGAGATCTTATTCAAAAGAAAAATTGGAAACACAAAGTTTCTGAGATGCTAATTTTCTAGGGAAATGGGTTTCTCCATTTCTTTTAATAACAGAAACAGCTCAAAAATGGAAATTTGAAGTTTCCGAGATTTGTGTACAAGGAAATGTGAGATGTGGAAAGTTTCTGTGCTTCTTAGATATGCATTAATGATTTGTTTTTGTGGTGCTACCAGGTTGATATTAGAATTGCGCCAGGAGCACATGTATCTGAAGTTGCAGGTCTCTCTATATCTCCCCCTCCCTCTCTATTTGAGATTTAATAAAAAAAACCATGGAATAACACAACAAATAAATGTAACATTTCATTACCTTGTACTACGTATTTGTTTTTAGCAACATCGTTGAAAACATAAAATCATCAAGATCCATAACCCTTAATCGAAACTGAATCCATATGGAAAATGGATAGGGCAGTGCATTAATTTGGTTATTTACTATGCACACTATTGTTGGGTGGGGGGATTTTAAATTTAGGGTGGTTTTTTATTTTATTTTATTTTGAGTTTTTGCAGTAAATAAACAATTGAACGACAAGGAGAGAATTGCTGCTGCTTTAGAAAGTCCTTACCTTGTAGACATACTTGACGAGTGCCTTGCACCATCTTATCAAACTTGACAACTGAGCCTTGCTGCTGCTTATGAATATATAGGAGAATTGTACTTACTCTTTGGTACTTTGCTACAGACTATACACTGCACATCTTTGATGCCTTCCTGTCTCAAGCTCCCTTTTCTAAAGTCTCATCTTAATCTTATTACTGTCATCGATTTTTTGAAAAGGGTTCAGTATTTTGTATCTTTATGTTAAAAAATGTCAAAGTTCATAGCATTTTTTTCTGTGGTTAATAAACAAAACCAAACAAGGAACAATTTGTATATTGTTTAGAAATTCCCTACACTAGACACTAGTCCATGTACATGGTTCATGGTTGAAGAATGTCTTGCCCCATCCAGGCCTGGACTCAGGCCCGGCTCGGTCGGGCCGGCGGTTCTGGAATGGGGGGCCGGAACCGACCTGGGTACTCCCTGGGTCTGGGTGGGGCCTCGGGCCTTTGTTATTTTTTTCCCTTTTCCTAGTTAACCACTTAACCTAACCCCCCCCCCCCCCAAACCACCCCAAACCACCCCAAACAGCCGAAAATACCCGGCCCAACCCGAAAACTAAAAAAAACAAAAAAAAATAAAATAAAAAGGACCGGAACCGGGCCCGAACCGGCCGGGTCGGTTCATGATTTAGGGGGTCCGAGCCCGGACTGGAACCCCCACGGGCCGGGCCTACCCGGACCAGTCACTGACTGGGCCGCCGGGCCAGAACAGTGCCGGTTCGGGCCGGTTCCGGGTCGGGCCACCCAGCCTGAGTCCAGGCCTAGCACCATCTAATGAATCATCCATTTAGGAATGTCTTGGTGTTCATCTCCCACTGTTGTCAACTTGTCATCATGTCATGTATCAAGAATATGGTGGCACACAACAATGAGTATTGATAGAAAATTGAGGAATGGATGACCCTAAACCCAAATGCATGATGGTGCATTTATATAGAGATCCATTTCTCTGAACACTAACGAGATTTTAAAGGGGGGATTATCTCACTCAGAAAAATGGACTCCAATTTTTCAGGTTGAATAATCTGCATCGCAAATCACACTAATGTGCTTCTTAATGAGTACCTCAGACATGTTCCATATATCTTCAATTCTTCAGTCATAAAAGCGCCTATATATCTTGTAGTTCACGAAATTATTATAGTGATTGCTTTTGTTGAGGTTTTTCCTTAAATATTTTTTAAATACAACATATATCTTATGGATAAAAATATCACTCCGTACTATAGTTACAACGGTCACTAAAGTTACACGGATAGTCAATAAAAAATCGCATTTTTTGTTCATCACTTTTTCGGTCATATATATTAGGGAGGGAAATTGTTCCAAATAGGAGTAAAACCTATATACAGAATACAATGTAGTGATTAATATATAAAATAGGCATTGAGTTTTACTTTATCTAATTGAAAGTTTGAAACCTATATAAACTGAAGTCAAATATAAGATCTAAATTGTACTTGATAATAAAATATGTATTTAGTTAGCATCCAATTTTATGGATTTTGGTAAAAATTTTGAACATATGTAGCTTATAAGTTTATAAAAAATTAAAAAGGCTGCACTTAATTTTTGTAAACATGTAACATTAACTTAAATGTACATACTAAAAACATTTATACACAATTATCTCTATTTTGTTTTTCCTTTTTTTGGTACATAAGAAAAATTTTAACTTAAAATAAAATTAACACAACTTACGGGGACTCCCTCTGCTCTAGGGTTAGCGGCTGCTAACCCTTAGCATCGGATCATCCGCCTTCATATTTACGAGAGATATTACCCAAAATAGGACTAAAAAAGTTTGAAAATTCCAAAATAGGACTTCCATGTTTTTATTCCCAAAATATGACTAATTACTGTCATGTTTTGGCAGTACTAGACTTCAAACATGGTAGTATTTTCCAAATTTGGCAATAATTAGTCCTATTTTGGGAATAAAAACATGACAGTCCTATTTTGGAATTTTTGAACCTTTTTAGTCCCATTTCGGGAACTTTCCCTATTTACGAGGTGCGTGTTTAGGGGTTAGAGGGGCGGTGGTTGCAGGAATGACGAGGGGCGAATTCGGAGGGGGTGTAAGGGCGGTGGTCTTGGCTTTTTAAGCAAGCTTCTTGGGCAGGCAGGGTTAAGGTCGAGAGGCGCCGACGAAGAGCAATTGGCGGCTGGTTTCGCTGGAAGAGCAATTTTCTGACGAAGAGTTCTTGTTAATGGAGAGTGTTGTGGACCGTTACAAGCAGATGACAATCGGGGATGACGAGATAAAGATAAACCTCGAAGACGGTGAGCTTGAAGATGTTCCGGAGGAGGAGGTGGCGGCAGGTTTCCCTGTGATCGGACAGGTGCTGACAGATCGCAAAGTCCGGTTCTCGGAGCTGAAAGAGCAGATGCTTGCTCTATGGAGGCCAGGAAAAGGTATGTCAGTTAAAGAAATCGGGGAAAAGAGGTATCTTTTTTCCTTTAACCATCGTTTTGACATGAAGCATGTTCTGGAAGGAGGCCCTTGGCAGTATGAACGTAGCTTGGTTTTGCTTAAACAAATTATGCCTGATGATATACCACACAAAATTATTTTGAATGAGGCTGAATTTTGGGTCCAAATTCATAATGTTCCTTATAGTTTGGTAAATCTGGGCACTGCTAGACATGTTGGGAGTTTTTTAGGAGAACTTGTTAAATACTACCTCCGTCCCTGAAAACTTTTCCAAGTTTGACCGGCACGAGAATTAATAAAGTAAAAACTGTGTGGTTGATGTTTGTGCAGAGGAGAGAGAATTAACTAGAACCACAAATTCTTTACTTAAAAGGGAAAGTGGCAAATTTAGTGGGACATGCAAAAAAGGAAAGTTGGCAAAGTTTTAAGGGACGGAGGGAGTATGATGATTATCAAAAAAGAAAAAGTAGAGCCATACATGCGTGTTAGGGTCCTTAAAAAAGATGGTAAAAGTTTTAGGGTGGATTTTTAAATATGAAAGGCTGCCTACCTTTTGCTTTATATGTGGTTTGGTTGGTCATTCAGATAATTTTTGTCCCGTGAATTATGAAGAAGGACTGGTTTTGGAAAAAGGATTTGAATCTCATCTTAGAGCAGGTAGCGGGGTGAAGACTAGCCCGACAGGAGGAAAGTCTGGCTTCTGGAGGGTTCATCGAGCTCTGGCAAATCGGGGGGCGGACCGGGGGTATCCAGATCAGAAGGAAAGATGACAGACAAGGAGAAAGGGTCAAGGACGGAATCTGCTCAAAGCTTCACACAATGTGGGGAAGAGCCAAAGGAAGAGGTTTCCAAAAGAAGGGAAATCTAGGAGACTCAAACAGAGAACGAGAATGAGGAGGACATCATGATCACAGATGGGACAAAAAACGGGGTGGAGGCGGGCTTGGTTCCTTAAGCCCGCCAAATACACTGGTTGAAGGTGTGAGGCCGAAAACGGGAAGACAGGTTTTAGTTGTCTGGCGGAAAAAAGGGTGTTATTTATTCTGCTTTAATTACTGTTTCATCAACTCTAGTTTTTGTTTTGGTTTTTGTTTCTGTTTTCCTGTTCTGGTCTGTAAGACGTTGATTTTGGATGTGGGGGATGAGAGGAATTTGGTAACCGTGTTAGGCTTTGTGTTTCCCGGTTATGGATCAGCGAATCATATTACTACGGTAATTAATTCCAAGTCTGGTTTGAGGGATAACGGTTATGAGCATCTTTTTTTGTCAGTTGACTCATACTTTGAATTATTATTGGTTATTAATCTAAGCCGAATTCAGTAAAAAAAAACTTAACTTATATAGCTTAAAAAAGAATTAATTTAAGAATATTTAATTAGACATTCCAATTAAGAATATCTCAAAATATAATAATATATCTACATTCTATAATTCCGTTTATTTTATTTAACAAATGAATGTTTTCAAAGATCTGCAAAGACGTGATTTTTATTAACTGAAAAAAGAGAATCGTATGTGGGTGTTCAAAAATGATAAAATTTGGCGCTGACTTTGTTCAATTGAAAACCTTGGTGACCAATATTAGATTCGCATGTAATATTGTCTAGTCTCAATCCCAAAAAGAGAGGCCCTGTACCAATGTCCCTCATCTGCTCTTGATCTCGATTTCAGCCTGAAATTTGAATTTGCGATCTGGCTGGTCTTGGTTCTTCGGTCTCGAGTTTGGGAAAACATATTTATTTTACACTATACTCATTTTAGTATAACACGAAACTCATGTTAGTAATTAGCACATACGAATTAATATTTAATAAACTAATAAATATTCTTCTTAAATTAATAAAGAAAAATAATAAAATAATACTTTAAATATTCATCAGAAATTGAAAATTTGAAATCAATGAATAAGGTGGTTAAAAAAAGGGAAAAGGACTTGAAAAAAAAAGGAAAAAGAAACAAAAAAATCTATGTAAAAGGCAAAAGAAAAGAGAGGTAGTGCTCCCTCCACTCACGCAGTCCACTTAGAAGTTACGAAGAATTAAGTTGGCCGGCTAGACTAAAGAGGCGTAGTCCACTTACTCAGGCAAGCAGGGAAGAACACACGGCCGGAAGAATCAGCAAATAATTACAAATATACCGGGTGTACGTACACCCGGATGTACGGTATAAATTGCCCGAGTTCGTATATCCTACACCCGGATGTACAGGTACATCCGGTTTTTTTGTAAGTAGTAGGCTGAAATGTTTCCTTATCCAACCGCATGCACTACTCCGCCCAGTACTCCACTCGTCCTTATCCAGCCAGTTCATGCACGTCTTCATTTATTGTTTTTTTTGCTTATTCAATTCTCGTTTCTTCTTTTGTTTTCTTTTATTGTTTGTTCTCTTTTTTTATTTTAACAACCTTCTATTTTAATATTATATTCAATTATTATGAAAATGTAAAATATAAAATATTATTAAATATTTCAGATTATTTTTTTCTTTCTCCAATCAAACTTCTAGCTTAAGTTTTTATTTATCTATTATAAAATATTTTATTTATCAATGTTTTATTTCTCTATTTTAATTTAAGATGAATATTTATTAGTTTAATAAATATTGTGTGATAGTTACAAACGTGAGTTTTGTGTTATACTAAAATGAGTATGGTGAAATAAGTATGCATGAGTAAATAATTATAAAAAGAACTCGATTATATTTGTAATTCGAGAACAAACGACTATAAATTATTTTTTATATAAATTATTTCATTGCCATCATGTGTGCACAAATGAACATTTGAACACATTAGAAAATTCAAACAAGCTTTTGATTTTCGATGCACATTTTGTAAGTTATGTATGCTCATTCGGTGCTGATTTTATGCTCATTTTAAAATGTCATATTAATTCATATTTCAAAATTATCATATTAGGTTCGCATAAGATTTAAATTATATACATGGAAGTAAAGATAATCATGATACGCAATTGCATGTTTTTGATACTCAATAAAGGAGGTTTGATGTTAAATGAAAATGTCTTGATGTTTAACTAATCAAACTTATGATTTTCATATCATTGCTCATTTGGTAAGTAATGTATGCTCATTTTGTATTGGTGTTATGCTCAATTTAAAATGTTTTATCAATGCATATCTCAAAATAATTAGACTCCTAATACTCAACATAATAGGTTTGATGCTCATTAAAATTGCATCAACGCTCATTCACCAGAAATCGTGACATGCGAATGTAATGTAATATGACACTTTTTAAATATGCATTGATATGACGTTTTACATATGAGCATAAAATCAATACCAAATGAGATTATGTGACTTACGCAATGTGTATTGATATGAAAACTGTAAAGTTTGTTAGTTGAAAATCATGACATTCATGGTTTCTATTAAATGAGCATTAATGAACTTTTACTGAGCAACTGACCAATTCTGTTGAGTATTAAGAGTCTGATATTGAGCATCGAGATCTCTGCTTCATATCTTATATTCACTTTCTTTTTCTTATTTTTTCTTTTATAATAATTATTAAATTATATCTATAATCAACTCCTGTGAAACTTCAATATGTGAATATAATATAATATAGTACATTTGAAATATACATTGATATGACATTCTAAAAATGAGCATATATGAGTATAAATTGAGCATATGTAACTTACAAAATGAGCATTGATATGAAAATCATAAGTTTTTTTAATTGAGGATCAAGACATTTTCATTGAGCATCAAATCTCTTCCTTGAATATTAGAAACATGTAATCGAGTATCAAGGCATGTGCTCAATCTAGTATGCATTGATATAATTAACATTTTAAAATGAGCATAAATCAAGTACCAAATGAGCACACAAAATGTACCAAATGAGTAATAATATGAAAATCATAAACTTTGTTATTTGAGCATCAAGACATTTTCATTAAACATCAAACCTCTTCTATTGAGTATTAGAAGCATGGAATTTAGTATCATGATCTATGCCCCCATGTGAATCTAATATGAAACTTTTGAAATATACATTAATATGACATTATGAAATGAGCACAAAACCAGTTTCAGATGAACATGCGTAACTTATAAAATGAGCATAAAAAAGTTCAAAAGCTCATTTGAATTCTCTAATGTGCTTAAATGTTCACTTTTGCACATGCATCATAATGAAAAACATATTTATTTTACACTATACTCATTTTAGTATAACACGAAACTCATGTTAGTAATTAGCACATACGAATTAATATTTAATAAACTAATAAATATTCTTCTTAAATTAATAAAGAAAAATAATAAAATAATACTTTAAATATTCATCAGAAATTGAAAATTTGAAATCAATGAATAAGGTGGTTAAAAAAAGGGAAAAGGACTTGAAAAAAAAAGGAAAAAGAAACAAAAAAATCTATGTAAAAGGCAAAAGAAAAGAGAGGTAGTGCTCCCTCCACTCACGCAGTCCACTTAGAAGTTACGAAGAATTAAGTTGGCCGGCTAGACTAAAGAGGCGTAGTCCACTTACCCAGGCAAGCAGGGAAGAACACACGGCCGGAAGAATCAGCAAATAATTACAAATATACCGGGTGTACGTACACCCGGGTGTACGGTATAAATTGCCCGAGTTTGGGACCTTGTTCACCCCTACGTGAATCAGTCTCACAAATATCCATGGATCTTTCCTTTTTATTCAAGAATGTGCCTCATTAATACAAATCAATATCAAGAGAATCCCATGAATAAAAAAATTTAGGAAAGAGTAATTGTGCCTAGGGGTGGACCCGTTCTAGTTTTAGGGCCAACCAGTCAACGATTTTGTGGATTACGTATCGGGACCGTACTCATGGGGTATATGTATCATGTCGTTTATAGTTCGATTCCGGTCCAAGTGTCCAACACCATTTTATTAATTAGAATAGAAGTATGAAATTGTAGTTTCAAAAAATGGTGTTTGTAAGAATAAGTAAATGTACATTATAATACAACTTGACATAATTTTTTTTCGTAAATAATATACATGTATATCACATACAAGTATCTTTTTCCATTTAGGATATTGAACTTGCAATTTTATTGGTTTAAAATGCTTAAAACCCATGAGAGGAAACCCCCGAAACTGAGTTTTTCCAGGTTGTCCATATTTCCCTGATCTGAGTCTGGATTGGGATTCCGTTTTTGGCCATATACAGGGTTTTAACTACTCGAACCGGTTTTTGTCCGGGTTGACCCAGCCGCTGGGTGGATTTTTAAATGTAGATGCTCCTGCCAGTCAAACTTTACAAACCATTCCTGCATTTGGACTGACCAAAGTTCACGGAGAACAGCAATATAACTCGAGTCAACCAATTTGCGAGGACAGCAACATAAAATGCGTAAAACCCTCGACCAGAGCCTAATAAAATGGGTTGATCAGATATGGCTTTTCCTTTGATTGAGGGCAAATGTTGCTTGTTCAAAAGGCAAGCACCTTTTCTAGATTCTATTGCGTGATTCACACTTGTTTTGTCATTTTTGCATTGTTCACCAATCTCTTGATCTTACATCTTCTTCCACATAATTTGGTTTATTATATAAATATTTAATGAGATAAAATAATATAGAATAAACGATGAACAATTCTTAACAGCCATGTATTATGAAAGAGTGGTTGATTGTCCAAGTATTTTTTGAAAGATTTGTCCAAGTTTTATATCATTTCCTTTGAGTTTGCACCACAGTTTTTGTCCAAATTGGACTTTGCAATCTGTTTTTAAAATTCTTGTATTTGCACCCAGCCCAGTGTGAAAAGACAAAAATGTCCCTACATTAACAATTATGTTAGCCTTCAACATATATATACACCTGATCGAGGAGCATTTTTGTTTTCCATACGGGATTGAGATGCAAATACAAAGAGTAAAAAACGGAGTGCAAAGTGCGATTAGGACAATAAAATGAGTGCACTCAAATTACCCCATATTTCATTGGAAATCCAATCAAAAGCACTTTTAAGTTATCCTTATTTGACTTTCATTGGAACTAAACTTGTGTCAAATCTCACCCCAACGAGGCTGTGACCAACTTTGCTTTCATTGAGAACACTCTAGGCTTTAAACTATTTCACTTTAAGGAAGCACTCATTTCAAAGCACATTCACAGTTTTGTTGAAAAAAATGAAAAGTGAGATACCAACACAGGATGGAGTGTTTTTTTAACGTTTCTAGTTTCGACAAGTAATTAATCTAGTGATTATTTATAAGTTCTTAAAGTAAAAGATAGTGGTATTAGGGGTGGTATTAGGGGTGTTGGAACTGATTCTGCTTCTGCTTCTTTTTTGAAGCATAAGCAGAATCAGAATCGGTTTTCAGAAACTAGTCTCCCCCAACTTCTAAAAAATGGATTCTATGAGTAAATTAGAACACCAGAATCACTTTTTCACTTTCACCAAAACATTCCAACTTCTGTTTTTGCACCCTCAGGGAGCAGAAGCAGTTTTAAGAATCAGATCCAAACACCCCTTAAAAGAAGTAATTTTGGTAAAAATGTATGTTTTGCATAATATAAAAGGGGTAAACGGTTTTTAACTCTTCTCATTTGTTTTCAACTTTCAGCTTCAACTTTTATCTTTAAAGTGATTAACTTAGGCATAAGCGTCTACTTGAAATACCACCTTTAAGTACGGAGTATTTTTTAAGCAAAACGTTTAAAATGGTTTTTAAAAACTAAGGAAAACACTACTTGACTAATCAAACACAAGATATCGCACAATGATAATACCAAAATAAATAAATAAAAAATAAATAAATAAAGATTGCCCAAGATTGCAAGCCCGGTGTTATTGTACAAGGAGAAACTGAATTTATTAGAATCCAAAATTCAAATTCTTAAAAAACCATTTTATACCCAGAACTAGAGAGAGCTTCAAAGCTTAGACTAGAGGCCTCTTGTCTTCTTCTATTTCATCTTCTCCTTTTTCTGATACTCTCTTAAACTCTTTGAGATGATATTTAATTTGCTTCTTTGGGGCATCAGATGACATAGGTCGAACTGAAGGTTTAGTTTCAGGCAAAAGCTTCAACAGAATTCCCATGCATATAAGCAGCAATCCCGAGCAATGTTGCTCTGTTAGCGGCTTTGTAAATATCAAGTAAGACAACAGCAAAGTAACTGCCTTTCTTGCAGTTGTTACCTGCAATTGCGAAGAAGCGTGTGAATCTCCTTGACCGGAATTTAGTAATTATGAAGGGAAAATTCCCTAAATATTTAATTACAAGCATTTTGCTCAATGGGTCTTTAATTAGTAAAAGTTAAGGGGCAGACCAAACTGGTTTTAGCATACAAGTATATAAGTAATATAACTATGGATAGGTAATCAATATATTTACCATTGCAGTTGTGGCAGCACCAAAAATAGCTATCAATGATAGGACAGAAATTTGACCTACAAAGGTTGCCATTGCTTCAAAAACCAAGACGCCGTATACATAAGGGTGCTGCAGTTTGTATCAAAGATTATTGTTATACATTGTAGAAAAATAAATACAAAGCCAGATTTGCAACAAGAGCCAAAATGAACAAGGTTCATGTTGGGCAAAGGTTCAGGATATAAAACTAGTTTGACAACTTGCTATGTTACCTGATAACAAGATTTCCAGGCCTTGAAAACCTCTCCGGTTAATATCATGGGCACGAGTAGGAAAGGTGCCCCGACTATAGTTGAGCAGAAAAGCATCTCCATCTGATATGGAATAGCATGAAAAAAGGTCAAAATACATCTTTTTTAGTGATATCATTTAAACAACCACACGAACATCTCTAAAACTATTGTACTACCTGAGTAGTTTCAGGATTCAGGGTAAAAATAGCTTCTTGCAAATTACCCAGAAAAGAATCCATCACTAGAGCACCACTAATCATCATGACGCCGATCATACTAAAATTAGGAGAAGTGTTGGCATCTGCTAGAGTGAAAAGAATCAGGCCAACAACAAGGAGCAATGCAGAGATGTATTCTTGGAGAGGGTATTTTCTTCTTAATCCAGGAATAAAGGCACCCATTATCATCACAGGAAGTACCTATACCCCATAACGACAAATTCAATAGGAACCTAGAGAAATTTTCTAACCAACTATGGAACAGAGCATATTAACTTGCCAACAGGAAAATAAAAGAACTCAATTATGATGAAAATATCCTGATATTTCTAATTTTCTATACTTCCAGCAGTCACTCAACATGACAGGCAGTGTAAAAAATGATGAAAGTATCCTGATATTTTTTTACTTTTCTATAAAAATTCCTATGACTTTCTAGAATCTTAAAGAGACAAACAAAAAAGTGAAGGAATATCAGAAAGTACAATAACATTTTGAGGAATATTGAGAAATATCATAGTACATATATGAAGTATCAGTAATTGATTTATATTTTCTCAGAAAAAACTAAAAAATGATCTTTTGTTTTCCAAATAAATATCACATATTGAAATCAAAATGGTATAATTAGGTACCTTAGTTGATTTGAACATGATCTGTGCTGGATAGTTAAGATAAGCAAGGGAACCCTTTGTTAATCCATGAGAACCCATAAGAACAGCAGAGAGCTTTACATAGGTTGACCAGGGGTTCACCATTAGCTTCGTGGTGAAACCTTGTAAGCGTATGAGTGCTAAGTACACAAAGCCTTGTATGAAGGTAAAATACCACCCATAGCTGGGAAAACAAAAAATAGCTATATAACCAAAACACAGAAAAAACCAAAACGAAATAATTTATAACAAAATAAGTGTATCTGACTCATACCTGAACTGAAGCCTATTATACACATACTCCTGCAATTGACAAAACCAAAAGCTCATAACAAAATAAATTTGACTACTCGATTGCAAGCGATGACATCAACAAATTTAAAAATGAACAACGAACCCTTATATATATCAAGTGAAATCACTAAAATTGCCAAATATTACTAACGTCCTGGGTGTAGGGTACACCCGGTGTGAGTCGTGTGACTTTTGTAATTTCAATAACTGTTCGTTTTCCACTACAAGATGCACATTTCAATTTGCCATTATCATGTTTCTTCGTGTTTTTCAGATCACTCTCTTCTTAAGAATGCTCATTTGCTTATCATGATGGCTTCTTTTCCTTTAAAAAAGTGTCCATTCACTTATCTGGGATGTTGGATTATGAGGTAGATCTGGGTGGACCATTAAATCTGGATGTAGGATTATCCAAATATATATAGGACATGCAAACCCAAAGAAAATCAAACACTGTAATAAAGCCATAAGGCCTGATACTGTTCGAAATGATGACACCACATAATTCTCACCAACTCTGGGCCATTGTGGGGTTTATCTCTTAATCACAACTCTATAAATAAGGCGAAATTACACAGAATAAAGAAGTAAAAGACCTCGCAAATGCCATTGACAAGGTAACCGAAGAAGAACCCAGATGAGCAAATGAGGAATTGCTGCCATATTGGTCGATCAGATAAAGAAATCCCAAACAAGGACCTCGCTTGATCTTCATTGTTCTTCATCGCGCTGTCTCTTTCTCCGCGTCTTAACCCAAAACCGAGCTCGATCAATGAAAATGGAAAGTGCTCTGAACTTGCATGGCCAAGCAAGCAGGAAAAGGAAAAGGGTACTCGAATTTCTTACAAAGCCAGCAAAGTATCGGACATTTTACCAGACATGTGTGACGAAGGCAGATAAAGAGAGAACTCTGGGTTTAGGTTGAATGAATTTGGGTGAGATGTTGGACTGTAAGCGTTATACTTTCCTCAAGAATACTTCCGATCTTTTTAAAATAGAGAACAAAAATACAGTGCCAAAAGATGCTCAAAGAGGCTAGAAAGCGGGTTGAGGGAAGGAAGAAATTTGGTAAGGTAATCGTTTTTTGAAAGGACGGTTTTTTTAAAAAAAGAAGATAGTTCATTTCTTCCTTTCTTTTCGTTTGCATTTTTTATATTATTGTGATCTTTTTATGGTAACAAAATGGGAAACAAAATTTAAGACGTTTTGCTTCTATTTCTTTCCAAATTTTAGAATCATTATTTTATGGTGTGCGATAGCGCAAATTATACCGTGGGATCATCCCACGGTGAGCATCGTGCTCCAAGCCCAAAAACGGTGTCGTTTAGTTAAAAAAAAGGAACAGTGTTGTCTTTCCCTACAGAGACGGAGCTCTGCACGCAGCTGGCGAGCTCGAAATAAAATCCGGCCAAGCAAGTTAAATCCTATTCAGCTTTGGCTTTCGCTGATTGCAACTATCCTATTCTGCTTTGGCTTGTACGACCTATCTGAGCCTGCAAACACAATTGATCACAATCCCACTTCCGTTCCTTCAGATTGCACATCAGTGATGAGTCATGGATGTGTTTGCTGGCCAAACATGAGAACATTAGGGTTGATTAAGAATCTCTATATATACGGAGTATATATATATATATATATATATATATACACACACACACACACACATACATATACACACAACACACACACACACATTTCAGTTCAGACAATTTACATTTTGATTTGGCTCAAATTACATTTGAAAAACATGCAGTTACATTAGGATTTGCCTAAAGTTACATGTCTATTAGGGTGAGTTACATGTCAACTTTCATCAACAAGTTACATGATACTTGCACATGATTTACATTTTATATAATATGAGTTACACCGCAATATAATGCGAGTTACACAACACAATAGACCTTTGATATTCAAAGAAATTTTTTATATAAAAAAACATTTTTGTAGCCCTAATATTAAAAATAAAACAATAACACTATTTATGTAAAATAATTTGACTACTTTTTTATCATTATTTACATTTAAATCAAAGTTTACTTCTTATACTATGTATTTGACAAAGTTACATTTCGACTGAAATTGAGTTACATTGATCAATAACGTGAGTTACATATATTTACATGTGAGTTACATCATTCATGCTACTCGGACAAAAGATAGAAAAAAGCAGTTACTGCACACGCGTGTACTGTTCACGCGATTTTTTTTTAAACGGATTGTGCAAAACTACGCCGTTTTGGGAGTGGGAGCATGGTGATCACCGTGGGATGATCCCACGGTATACGAACTGGTGCGATAGTGATTCTGTAATTAAAGTATCGTAGTTATTATACATCTAAGGGTGCAGTTGGGGTGCAAATTGGGTTGAATAGCCGGATTAGTACAAAGAATTTGTTTAAAAATTTTAACACAATACTTTTAGAAATAATTACATATACTACGTATATATCATTAAAATAAATAGTATTCCAAAGACGTGATCTTCGTAAGTACAATGATATAATAGTAATTTAGTATTAGAAACTTATGTTCAATTTTTATACTTAAGTGATTATAAAATTATTCTAAAAGAAGTGACTATAAAATTATACTCCGTACTATAATAACTATTAGTCATTTTTTTTGTAATTAAATTTCATTTTAGTGATATTTTAGAAAACTCAGACCTTCGAAAGTGACAAGATAATTACCTCTACATTCTTGATAGACAAAATATGATTAAATTGGATTGAGATTAATCTAACACGAAATAATAAATAAATGTATAAAAATTATATATGAACACAGTACTGTTTAACGTGGAAGTATCAAGTCTTGGGCTCCATTATTTTATCGGACTAAATAAAATATATCTCATATTCCCAATCACTATGGGCCTTTAGAATGATTATACAATTTATACATTCCCCAGCTTTAATTTAGAAGTCCCCGTAATTTATTTCTGGTCGTTATCTGATACATTACCAATACCGATAATTGAGCCTCATTTGACCAATTGGTCAACTCTATGCCCTTCCTATGGCCCAACTTGAATATACATCATCATATAAGTATTCTCTAGACCAAGATGAATATATTATGTATGTAGTCTCGTAAATATCGGGTGGTCCTCGCTCCCAGTGTGGGCCCACGTGCATTTCACTATTCACACAAGAGTAACAACAAAAAATTACAACCTCGCAAATTATTAACCATTCCTCAAGGTTCAATACATAATTTACACAAAAGTAAATATACTTGGGGACGGTGTTACAGGTGTTTTGGTCTGCTCATTTGAAGGATAATGAAGATATGTTCATTCTTGTGGTTTTCATAAAAATCAGTAAAAATCTTGATATAGTTACTCCACAAATTGCAACCAATGTGGTTACCTCTATAACATTTCAACATAAAATTAAAAATGGATAGTGTTGAGGATCGATCTTTTCCGGCTCAGATCTCCAACCCCTAGTTAGACTCTCACACACCACTAAGGTGTTTAGCCACTCCACCTCTCACCAAAAGTTGCCCTCTACTCCCATCTAATAGGCTCTCCAGGAACTCTCTTCTAAGCAAGGAAGATGAAGACTGTGTCGCACCCTCACTCTGATTTCTAAGGTGGTTCAAATAGCCAGGGAAGCAAAGGCTAAGACAAAACCAAGAGACCCCTCCAGACTCACGAGTCTAATAAGTCAAACAAAGAGGAGCCCAAAAAATAGAAGGCAGCGGACAGATTCCAATAAGTGAGGCAACGGTCCAAAGACAGGTTAGGTATGGAGTACACTCATGAATGATTAAATGGGAGTAGGGCTAAACTTAAGGTGCGGGCCTTAACATAATAAAGTGGAAGGGAGGCCTTGGTAGGACCAATACCTCCAACATTCTCCACTTTATTGGTCCTAAGTGGTGTAGAGTAACAATACAAAGTTGTGAAGAGACTCATCATCGCCGGACCATTACAAGTACATCATTCCGATTATACAAGTAATAGATGAGAACCAAAGTTCCCTTTCGGACTAAGCTTACCATGCAAACCCAATTCACGATGGACTGAACTCTACCAATCGGTCCTCGAGTTCAGAACCAAAACCATCACAAAACTATTAACAAGCACAACACATGTTAATAGACCACGCAAGCAATCATCCAGGAGAAGTTGGGGATCCCAACTAATCCAACAACCACATAAGGCAAGTACAAAGAAAATAAAAGAAACAATATTATTTCTATAACTAGCAAAGGTAGAGCTCACATAATCATTTGGTATCACATTTTCAAAACACAAAGAAAATAGCATACCAAACATCACAAAGATTTTAATTAACAGAGAATTAAACACATTTAAAGCAAACTCAGAGGAAATATAGTCAAACACTTTGCACCTATTATTTCTCTCATGCTCCCTAATGTCTCTATCTCTAATATCATGGCAATCACGCAACTCAAGCATATTGCGCATAACATTCATATCATGCTCCACCTTAATAGAAATATTATTTTCTTTATTTTCATCATGAAAATCATTTTCAATCACAAATTTGGGTTTGGTTTCAACAAGTGAATCAGAATGAACTTCAACATGCAAATGCTCCACCTCATTTGGAGCAACATCAGGAGAAACAAGTAAGCAATGAAATTCATTTTCAACAAAAATGACATTTCCACTCATCAACACATTGAAGCAAGTTTCACTCCTACACCAAAACCTATAACCTGTCATGCAATCATGATATCCTAAGAAAACATATTGCTTAGTCCTAGGTTCAGATTTATCATTCTCACGATTCACATAAGCAGCACAACCAAACACTCTCAAATTTGGCAGGACCAATACCTCCAACATTATTTATAGGGCTATAATTGCACGGAGCAACTAGCGCGAATAAGCCGGGAATAACAATGAGCCCAAGACTTTGTATTGCTACTCTACACCACCTAGGACCAATAAGGTGGAGAATGTTGGAGGTATTGGTCCTACTAAGGCTTCCCTTCCACTTTATTATTGACTTGCACCCCATGTTTACTCCCACTTTGGCACCTCTATTTTGAATCTCTCCTAACCAATAATATGGCCATATTGACTTATGTGGAGTGACCCCTTTGAGCTGTCCGTTGCAATCCTCCTTGTCTTTGCATCACCCGTGAGTGTCCTTTGTGTTGGCCAGCCTATTATTTAGCTAGCTCCTTTCTTCCTTGTTTGAGCAGCCTGCGTGAGATATTCCAGAGAGAGCAGTGTCCTTCTTCTTCTCCATTTCCTTTGTGTGAGAGTGTGAGAGAGAATACCTTAGTGGTAGAGAAGAAGCTTGGTGAGGTGTTATGGTCTAGCCTAGAGTTGGTGCGTGTGAGTATAGCAAAAGGGTTGGACACCTGAGTCGGAAAGAAATTGATCTTACCAAGGCCCCCCTTCCACTTTATTATGTTAAGGCCTGCACCCTAAGTTTAGCCCTACTCCCATTTAATCATTCATGAGTGTACTCCATACCTAACCTATCTTTGGACCGTTGCCTCACTTATTGGAATCTGCCCGCTGCCTTCTATTTTTTGGGCTCCTCTTTGTTTGACTTATTAGACCCGTGAGTCTTGAGGGGTCTCTTGGTTTTGTCTTAGCATTTGCTTCCTTGGCTATTTAAACCACCTTAGAAATCAGAGTGAGGGTGCGACACAGTCTTCATCTTCCTTGCTTAGAAGAGAGTTCCTGGAGAGCCTATTAGATGGGAGTAGAGGGCAACTCTTGGTGAGAGGTGGAGTGGTTAAACACCTTAGTGGTGTGTGAGAGTCTAACTAGGGGTTGGAGACCTGAGCCGGAAAAGATCGATCCTCAACAGATAGAATCATGGAAGTGAGAGTCGGGTTTAAGTTCACAAACATAATCAGGATCCTCCAGAGTCAACTCTATAAGCCTCCCTGGTTTTTCATTGATAACATGCGTCTGGGGGTAAGTTTTTCCAACAAATTTATTGATAACATCTGCAAGTGAAAGACTAATCTTAGCTGAAGAGGTAAAACAAAATGATAGAAATGTTTTTAGACATATAGTTGAGGAATACCGATAAGCAATTTGTCATTTATCACTTTTAGACTGTGGAGCATTTCAAATTGGTGAAAGTTGTAGGCACGATTTGGAAG